GTTCTTCAAATGTTTTCTGCAGGTGCCACTGGGACTTTCTTGCATTACTTTCCAGGAATTCCTTGTTGGTGCCAAGTGACTGCAACTTCCAAGCTGGTAGTGGTTGCAAGACATTGAATATGAGTTTCCCGATGGAGGTAAGGCTTGATCTCCCTGCGCGTTTACAAAATCAAAGAGGGGACCATCAAAAAAACATATTTTTGGCAAGAATTGTGGGGCTATGTTAGACTTGGTATGTCAGACACTTTGATTTTATAGAGAATCAGGTAATTACAAGCCTCGATTCTATAGAGGGTAAATGAGCTGTCAATTAGATTTTTTCAATGTAATGAAGTCTGATTCTATAGTGAGGTAACCATTGAAATTGACAAGTCAGGGATCCCAATTCTATAGAAAATCATTGTCATCCATAAATCATGGTCATCCAATGTGGAAATATATTAGTGGGTATTGACGCAACAAAAATGGATTTTGCAACCCACAGCCTGCGATTCTATAGAGGCCCAATATACACACCTTGGAAAACATGCTTAAGTGAGTACCCTGTGCCCTCTAATTCTGTAGAACTTGTTTCTGGACTTGTTGCAAGTTTGCGTTTGTTTTCAAGACCTGTGGATAGCAATTCTATAGAGGTTCACATTCAGTTCAATCTCATTAGCAGCAATTCTATAGAGGTAAACGTGCAACCTGACAATTCTGATGTCATATGCAGCGTTCTAGCCACCATAAAATTGACTTGCCCAACCCACCCACTTAATTGGAAGGGGGATAGGCTTGAAGGTTCCGAGTTCATGCTCTGAAAATAGAGTTTGCTGTGAGAAGTGGGCAGAAATGGCTCCAAGCACTGCAAAACCTAACTTCAATAGAAGCGCGCAGTGTTTGTTCTACTGCTTTGTACTGCTGTGGAGTTGTACCAAACAATCAAAAAAGAAGGGGCCTACGCAAAACCAGTGCCCTAACGAACCCTGTGATGACGGCACCTGCGCTAAACGCGACAAGAAAGATCAAACTCATAGCCAAAACCTGTTTACCTTGAGCCCCATCGCCCTAGACAAATGCCAGTGAGAAACGGCGACATTAACGCACCGAGAAGATAAGTGACCGCAAACATCTAAAGAAACGAGGTGGCCAGCCCTTAACCCCCAGCTTCCCCCTCAAACCTGGGACAAAAGTCGCTCCGAAGCAACAATGTTTGTCAAAACCGGGACACCTGTCAAACAACATGTAAAATGCAATTCTCGCTTCGCACCCACGGGGGTTTTCTGACGGTTTCGCGCATCTCAACATCCAGTCTGAGGGTTAAACAACTATTCCCTGCCCTTACCCTGGGAATTGTCTAAAAGGATGGAAGAAAACAATTGCGTCGACCTTCTCGCCCTCTGATGATTTTGTTTGGCAAAGTTGGTTTCTGAGAAGTGGGCTGATTCAACATTCTTTCAGGTGGAGCGGGAGCTAAATGTCACGAAGGAATTGGATACGGAGAGAGAGCAGTGTGGTTCTGACAAGTACTTCCTGCCAAAGGTCATGGGAAAGACCCCGCAGCCTGAAGAGGCATCCGCCGAAAGCGCGACAAGCTTGCTCTACGACAAGCTGAAAAACATCATAGAGTTACTCAAAGAGCGCTTAGTGGACCGTGATGAAGTGATCCGGATGCTCCTCCTGGCCTTGGTCACGCATCAAAATGCATTGCTTCTCGGTCCTCCTGGAACTGGCAAGAGCCATGTGTGCAAGATGCTGGCAAGTATGATCTCAGACACGCATAAGGAGCAAGGGAAAGCGTTCTTTGAGGCGCAGTTCCATCCCTCCACAACAGTGGAAGACATATTTGGAGCTATCAGCCTGTCAGGCGTGGCTTAATGCGGTTTCTTTACTATCTGGTTACATACTGTCGAAAACTGACCATTTTGAGTTATCAGGCTTGGCAGAAAATCGTATCACTCGAAATGTGCGGCAAATGCTGCCCTATGCGTCTGTGGCGTTTTTGGATGAAGCCTTCAAAGCCCAAAGCATCGCTTTTGTCATGCTTGCTCTCCACCCTGAATGAGCAGCTTGTCGGCCTTTGACGTGCGAGAGTAGTTTCATAATGTTTCATAGTATGTATATATATACTTATACACTAGTACACAGTGAGAGTGACGATGTGAAGAGATTTAATATCATTGTAAAGAAAGCAACCCCCCAGAACATTTTCGAGACTGTGGTGAGAGGATTTCCGCGGCTCTAGAAATGCAGTACCCAAAGCTTTAGTCCAGGGTAGTGAAGAGCTCTCATGATTCAATCTATTGAATGAATACCGATGATATGCTTTGCCATTCCGACTTACTCCATGACCGACGACCTGATAATGGCCACTGCCTGCGTTGTTCTTTGCATTTCAGGCGCGTGTTCAAGAATGGTGACCAGATGCTCACGGACTTGCCATTGGCAACTACTATTGTCGCTAGCAACGAAATTCCTCTGGACGCTTCTGCTGGGGCACTTACCGACAGGTCAGTGCCTCAAATAGAGCACAGCCAGGTCTTCTGAGCGCGCTTTGTGTGTCGCTTGAGGCTCCTTATCCGAGTTTTTGTGGACTATGTCAAGGAAGGCGAGATTAGTGGGCCCATTTTTGGTTTTTATCGTCGTGGTGTTCTCAACAGACCAGGTGTGTGCAGTCTTTGCGATTACCACTCTTTGGGCAGGTGACCCTCTCGATCAAATCATGAATACAAAATTTGGCGACCCAGGCTGGAGTTCAGTGTATATGGATTATTGGGATCACATTGCACAGTGTTTCAGTTTACCAAAACTTCACAGCAGACGCGGATCTGCTACTTACAAGCACATTCATTGCATGTGAACCTGCAAAGCACGTCAAAACACAATTACACCAGAATCGACCCCAAACACCATTTGTTCAGGTGGTAGGCATGCCATACACAAACACAAAAACAGAGGTTTCATGTCGCAAGGCAATTTTATGCCTTTGGGAAAACATATGTAGCCGTAGTATATCAGTATATTATCCAAAATTCATTCGCGCAGTTCGATCAATACATTCGCATGTTTTTAGAAACATGACGTTGCACTTCCACAGTCAAAACTCTGGCTTGTCAGAAACAAACAATTGTAGTTAGAGAAAACAAACGCTCGTTCTCACAAACACGACGTGGTGTTTTCAATCACAAAACCGTGCATTTTCCAAGCATCCCCGCGCTTTCATGCACTTTGAGCGTACAAGCCCGTGTCACGCTGTTTTTTTCACGGGCAAAAACCTGTCCTTTCAAAAGCGTGCTGCTGTGTGTTGCAGAGATTCATTTGTGCATTTCGAGCAATACAATTACAAGCGTACATTTCAGAACCATGCCAATGACAAGCGAAGGTTCACCAAGCATTCTAACAACATGTTCTGAGCGCAGATCACCACATAACCCTACATGTTAAAATTCAAGATAAGGGCAGAAGTGAACGGGTGGAAGAGGGACAGGTTAGGAAAGATGACAAGATGAGACGGAGCATTGATCGCGAATGAGTGAGTGAGAGTGAATGAGTGAATGAGTAAGCAAGTGCGAGAGTGATATGAACGAGTGAAAGTCAATATGCAAGTGACAGTGATAGTGAGTGAGTGAGCGACAGGGAGTGAGTGGTGGGTTCGCGCCACTCCACTGCAGGTCCGGTAGTATTGGGCTCTGCCCTGCTGCCTACCGGTCGATCTCATAAATAACTTAAGTTCCTGCAGCCATGCAGACCCAATGAGAATCGAAGCACCACAACGACAAACGCGATCTTGATACACCACGAGAATTGAATCACTGCAACACCATAACGCGAACTTAACATAACACCACACACCAGAACACCAGAGAAGACCGTCGACACTATGAAGTTGCAACAGCGACAATTACAAAGTCAAAACCAACACGGGGCAATTCAGAAGCACCAACTCTGATCAGGCCATTTCCTGCGCAGATCGCGCGTGACAGTGCATTGTGGGGAATACAGTCACACACAAACAGGCACATACTGCTGCAATCAGCGCTACCGCCTGCGAAGCAACTACTTTACTGCACGAAGTGCCGCGCCTGCCACGCGAAATGCTCACGACATGCTCCGTGCACTGCCCCTGCCACTCAGAACGGATACTAGATGCAGAATGCGCTTCGCCTCCCCCGCGAAACAGAGCCGAGACGCACCATGCGCCGTGCCTGCCATGCGAGTGAATGGGCAAAATAACAAGAACTCTGCACAGTGTCACAGACAACCAGAAGGAAATCGTGGCAGAGAAGGAAACTGGGAGACAAGGATGAAATCGTTTTGTGGCAGGATGCCAGTTGGGAGACGAGAATGGAGACAAGTGAGGAGACAAGAAGGGAGGCAAGGGTGAAGTCATCTAGAAGGAAACAGGTGCGGAGACAGAAAGGGAGGCAAATGAAATCATTTCGACAGGATGCGATGGTTTGTGACTTGTGAGCAGAGCTCACCATCTAGCAACGGAACAGGGTGTTCAGCAGTGTCAGAGCTGGTGGTTCAGCAGAAGAGATTTGCGCGTGTACATGTGGCTGCTGACAAGGCTGTACCTCAGCTTTGCTCTCCAAATGAAATGCCAACATGTTCTTCTCTCGACAATTAGGCCTACATACCAAGATATGTATACGTGTATTACTAGTGCCTTCAACTTCAGGTAGGGGCGCGACTGTTTACGTTTAAGGGAGATTTGCGAATTTGAGAGGGACACCACGCATGAGGGTGAGATCTGGCTGGTGGGCTTGCCTGGCGGCGTTGCGATATGTCACCCCATTGCTGCGCACGCATTGCCGCCAAACGATGGACATGGGTGCGAGCTTCCAACTGGATGTTCCTGGATTGAGATGCTTCTCATATCTTGACAGTCGTGAAGCGAACACAATTCATAGATGCTCATAATGTATGTTATAATGTGGTTCATAAATGGACAATCAACTGGACAATCAGAAGGGCTCATGTGGTGAGCATTTTTCTGACTTGGACCGGTGCCAGTTGGAATGCTCCGTCTTACAAACTGCCTGCAAAGGCTCATGAATGCTTTGCCGTTCTCGCACAAAGTAGTGCCAGGAAAGGTTGACCCGACCCTGGCTCTGCAAGACTTCAAACTGCTGCAGCAGCATGCTAAGACGGAACTTCGATGGCCAGCAGATCGGAACGGTCACCGTTTTGACGGAGATGTCAATCCATTTTTCTGGAAAAGGCCGTGTGTTGCGTTGGGAATTGAATTTCACCTTGAACTTGGTGATTGGCACGGTTTGTGCTCCCCAGATAAGAATGCTTGGTTGCTCATCGGCTGATTCTTTGTGAGGCGTGCGGAGTACGAGCTAGTATTGGCCGATGCGAAGGATGCCAAGGAACTGTGGAGCAAACTGCAGTGGGATGAAGAAAAGCAGCGTGGAGCTGTGAACACGACAGTTCCAGAAGGTGGAGATGAGTTCAACTGTCAGCAACTTCAAGCTGGATGGCGACTGTTGGGTCACAACATGGAGAGCCTTTGTAAAGAATTGCAGTTCGATCCGGATAACAAAGACAAGGCGCGTGCGCGCACGCGCAAGCGCACGCGGGTGTGTGTGTGTGTGTGTCACCCTCTGTCCCAAGAGTTTTCACAAAGCAGAGCGCAACAGGCCCATCGTGGATACCTGTGCCAACGAAGCTGTTCCGCGATGGGAGACGCGGAGATTGATCACCTCCGTGTACCTGCTGAACTTTTTACACGCTGTGACTCCACTTTTCCACTTTTTGATTCCATGGTTCTTGCGTGATACTTCCCCCCAAAACCTTTCTTCCAGCTGAGCCGCGCTGACGTTCGACACCGCTGTTCTCGTGAGCTGCAGATGTGCGCAGAGCATTTGTTGAAACACCTTCAAGTGCTTGGACGCTTCACCTTTCCGTTGAGCCACTCTTTTCCTCGGCGAATTGATGTAACTGCAAACCCATTGTCTAAGGGTGTGCCGCTCTGTCTTCGCCGCCACTGTTGTCGGCCCTGTTCTTTCAGCCCCGCGTCGGGAACCTTCTCAGGCCGCTGGCCCTTCCCAGGTCGCTGGCACCGACTGTACCGAGCTCAGGATCTGGATCTATATCGTTGACGTCCTCTTCGATTTGGCCACCTCCCACGCTACCCCGATTGATTGATTGATTGCCCATTTGCATCCCCTTGGAGACCGTAAGTGCTTCCTACCTTTCTGTTTCAATTCTTCCCACTTCTCACTTCGATCTTCTGCGGTGCCACGGAAAAACCAGACCCAAACCAAACGGAACCAAACTGCACTTCTCTCCCTTGACCCGGGTTCATTTCGACAATCTTTGTCCCTTTGTTGATGATTTTTCCACGTGCTTCCCAGAATTTCGTTGATCCTCCACTTTCATGACCTCACCTTATTGACGACCGCAGCCATTTAGCCCCTTTTTGTCATTGAACTCGACTCATCGCCCCGCTGGGATATTCTCCCTAGACATGATTTCCTCTTCTGGACTCCGCGTTCCTGAGCCTCTGACTCAGACTATTCCCACTGAATGGCATGAAATTCGACGACCTTTTGAGACTTTGGGTCAGGTTCCCAACCTACTCACTGTTCGTTTTGAGCTTGACATCAGTCTTCTGGTCCACCAGCCCTTGAACTACATCACCGTGACTTTGGATGCAGCTCAGATTGCGGACAAGGAGCACACGGTCGATGATCTCAAGGATGTGACCTTCTCCCGCTTGGGCCAGAATCGCTCATCCTTCTGGATGGCCCTGCCCTCTTCTGGCGACTCGCGGGTCTGGGAGGTTAACTTGGTGCTTTACTACGTGGACTCTCAGCCAGACGTACCTGCAGTTTTACTGCAGAAATTTCATCGTGGGCCCTGCTTGTAACTAGAACAAGAATTCCAGCCATCGCATCTGTTTGCATCGGCAGTCATGCATTTGCCTGTACCTTGGAGAGTGAGCTTGAAGCGTTTGAGCTTGAAGGATTTGAGCTTGGAGGAGTTGTAGGTTTCTCGTGATGTTTTACTTGGATCCTTAGGTTTTTGATTTAGGCTGGCGTGTGGCACCGCATTCACATCAGTACGCATTTCTATAAGTGTGCGCCCCTTGGAATCACACAGATCCTGTCGGATTGTTCTTGTTTCTTGAGTTTTCTCAGCAGGCGGGCACAGGCGGCCCATAGAGCTGTGCCCAACGAAGCTCTCTATGGTGACCTCAGGATATGCAGCCTGATCAGCTGTGCGTACCTGCTTTTTGAACTTTTGAACAAGTTGTCACTCAACATTTTCGTAAAGGGCGAACGAGTTTGGCAGACACGAGCGTACGTCGTCACCTTTTCGGTTCGGTTTCGCCTTGTGCTTTTGGCCCCTTCTCGTTTTGAAGACCTCCAGGTCCGGTGGTTCTTGCTTGCACTCTTAGGAAATGGTCACCTCGGCCGGCGTGTGGCAAACCGCTTTCAGTTCAGTACGCTTAATCTTAAGTGTGTGGGTGTGGGTGCTTTTGCGTGCGTGCAGGTGCCTTGCAGAGTAGCCCGTTTCTGTATTTTTGCGGGGTTTTGTGTTTTGTGTTGTTTGCAAATATCAGTATTTGTCGTGCTCGGGAAGTCTGTGATTTCATCAGGCCAACGACTGCAAGTATGAACCACCTGTGGTCTTGACCTTCGAAGGACCGGAAGTGGAAAAAGTCACGACCTACAAGATGCTGCTGGAGTTCATAGAGTACATCCGCAAACTTGACGCCAATGAAGAGCGTGCGGCGGCATCTAAGAAGATGACAGTAGAAGGCGGTGGTCGTCTTGGAGATCGGCGATTGAAGCAGATTGTCGACGTTTTGCGGATTGCGGCGGTCACCAACAATCGCAACTCTGCCAAGGGCAGCTTTGTGAATATCCCTGACTTGTACCTGTTGGTATATTTTTGCTGGAAGACTCGGGGGGACTGGACCTTGATTCAGGCTTGGTGGTTGGACCGGATCAAGAAAGAGCTTCGCTGCCTGGTAGAAGACTTCAAGAAGGACCACAAGCCAGAGGGGAATTTGTGGTTGCCAGATGAGATATGCAGGCAGCTGCAAGAAGTCTGGGAAAAGGGCGGCCCTCAGAATCTAGACAAAAGCCAAAAGCTTCAAAAGTTGGAACAAGTCATGGAGAAGAGAAATGAGATCGAACGTCAAAGATTGAAGGACGAGCAGAGGCGGGTGCCATGCTTTCAGAGATAAATTGCATGGCATAGATAGCCTGCTCGGTTGTTTGGTCAGGCGCCGTCAGGAGAGAGAACAGCAAAGGAAGTTTGAAGACATGTGGCTCGTTTGCACATCCTCGTTTGCCCAGCAGCCTGACTTTGGCTGTGATATCGGCCCCTCAAGCCCAGACAAGACTTTTTTGACGACGGCGTCGGGAAGGGATGTATGCTTCCAGCGCATTTCACGAAAGGTGTCCTGGGAAGGGCTACCTTGAGTTTGCTTTGCGAAGCAACGGGGTAGCTTGAACAGCCTGCTCGGGACTAAATATTGATAATTATATGAATTCTAGTGACCCCTCCAATGTGATGAATAATTGATTAATCAATTATTTGGTGACCCCCGCGCTCGCCAGCACCACCATAGTGTGATGTCCATTCACTGGGAGCGACAGCAGTGCCTGTACAATGAGGTTGCGCAACACGGCTTCGACGCAGTGCGTGCACATCTGCGGTCTTGACAAATCGCATGCAGCTCTGGGACCACAGCTCTTACACATGCCAGCGTTTACAAGCCGGAACTTCTACGCAAGCTAGCGTTCGCGCAGCAAATTGCTCTACACAATCTAGCGTTGACGCAACACAGCCCTCTATGCAAAGCCGTGTTGACGAACCTCACCACGCCGCAACCTTTACGCAAGCCAGGGTTCACACACCATATTGCTCTACGCAAACGAGCGTTGACGCAACACCGCCATGTACGCAAAGCCATGTTAGCAACCTCTCCTCGCGACCCAGGCTGCTCTTATGCGGAGCGCGCGTGCGCCACATACGACCGCACTTGCGCAGCACAGTTTGGCGCCAGGCAGTTCTTACACACCGCAGCTCTCACATGCGCCAGTGTTGACAAGCCTCCACGTGCGCCACACCACGCCACATGTTGTAGCAACCCCTCCTCTCCGAGACAAGGCATTTCTTTCACACACCACACACTAAACGCCCACACACGTGATACACCTCACATATATTCCTGGTACCTCTCTACCTTTCGTGTTTCCCTGTCTCAAGTTTCTTTTCAGCGACCTGCGTTGTTTCGCCCTCGAATATTTTGGTGGGCTTTGGCTTTGGTCACTTTGCGCTGTCAGGAAAGCAGAGAGGGAGCGGCAAAGTGAAAAGGAGAGGAGAGAAGACGCGCTTAAGGAACAGGAAAGAAAAGCAAAAGCGGAGCAAGACACGCTTGACTGGGCGCAAACGCAAGAAAAGCATGCCATTGACAAGGCCCACAGAGAGGAGAAGATGAGGTCGATTGAGGAGAGGGAAGCGAGAAGGAAGCTTGATGAAGATGCCAAGAAGACAGAGTACGCCCAACGTCAAGAAGACCTCAGAAGCCGAGCAGCGCTACAGCTCCAACAAAAGCAAAAAGAAGACGAGAAAGCCGCCCGTTGCGAGGCTGAGGCTATTGAGCTTGGCGCGGAAGGCATTCGCTTGATCAAGAACGCGGAGGACACTTTGTTTGCTGTTTCAGGGACATTGCAATGCAGTGCAGTTGTGCTACTCTTCTCTTTTCCGGTGCAAACTCAGACGACAACACCGCAAAAGCTAGCAGCTAGGGTAGGGACCAACTCCGTGATTATAAACTCCAATTTTGGGTTGAGGGTTCAACTCTCTCCTGCTCGAGTCTCCACCTCCCTTGAGTGAGGCGCTGATATCGATAAGATAAGGTTAAGCTGACCGTTGCGGTTGAGCATCGTCGGTGCAGGTGTTCTTGTTGCCAATCAATTTGGGTTCTTGCGGTCCTCCGTTCATTTTGGAGAGGCATCAGCTTTTTCTCAGAGTTGACAGTGGATGCTTTGGGCCTGTCCGATTGGCTAGAGATCTCAGCGACAGCGAATCTCAAGTCGCCAGAAAGGTTCGCAAGGTAATCGTAAGACCGTAAGCAGATCCATTCTGGGTTTTGGTTGAGTTTGGACCTTTGCCCTTGGAAACGTTTTGGCGACAATCCCTTCACGAGTACATGATGTGGCGTTCTGGCAACCGATCATAGCCTTTGTTTACCCCCGCTACCCTCGAGCTATGTGAATCCATGTCAGGGTTTACGCCAGGGTGTGAAGGGGTGTGTCAACTGTACAGACATGTGCAACATGTGGGTTCCTATAATTGGAAAAAGATCGCCCGCTGACCGCCTGGTGCAGCCAGTTTCACACTAGTAGCGGAGCTCTACCTGACACTCCGGTGTTTTGGCTGAAGGTGGCCCGTCCGCGGTCGCGTTGTCTCATTTACAGTGGAGCCAGCAGGTTTCCATGGCTGGGGGCTCAGGACCTTCCATGCGCAGCCGACTCTGAAGGACAGGCTGACCTTGAACACAAAGTGTTGGAAATTTGATAGGGGAGGCTTTCCTCCTGGTCGTGACCTTGGGCAAACTCACGCGGGGTGCAAGACGGCAATTTTCCTCACCAAAGTCTCCTGCTTGACAGCATACAGAGAGCGTGCGCGCAGAAGGCGGAGATGGTGGAGGCGCGGAAACGAGTTTGAGGTCCAGGACGCAATTGAGCGAGCGCAAAGGGGCCCGAGTGCACGGGACTGTCCTACAAGGACTCGTCGCAACTCTTTCAACCGCTAGTGCGGTCTGACATTTGCGCGCAAACCATGATGGAACACCATGTGACCAACAAACTCTGGGACCCTGAGAAGTGGCCACCCCAAGCAAGAAGAAGAAGAAGAAGAAGAAGAAGAGGAAGAGGAAGAGGAAGAGGACGAAGAGGAAGAGGAAGAGGAAGAGGAAGAGGAAGAGGAAGAGGAAGA